TTTACCTTTCAACACACTGAAGAACTCCATGAGCCCAGACCCATTCCAACTCATGGTAAAGCAACATGGCAGGGTAAAATGTACCTAGAGGGTTTCTGAAGATGGGATCTCTCCATAAGCCAACTGTCACACCTGCATACTGATAGGGGAGTAGGCATGTGCTTCACCACGTGCCACCAGTGCCCCAAACTTCCTAAGTATTCTGAGTGTCAAGGACTTATTTCCACCAGCATTTTAAAACCTTTTTGACCATGACCCATAATAAGAAATATGGATTTTGTTGTATCACGAAGCATACACCCACACACCTGAAAAAAAGTTTCCCACAAGCAATTTGTTATGTACAAGACATTCTGGTTCTTTCACTGCAGTCAAGTCTGTTTCACCGTACTCCTGCTGCAGTGAGCCACTACGCTGAACGGCTGGGTCAGGAGTCACTAATAGATCAGAAATCATAGTGACAAGCACTCTTCTTAAAGCAAAGAGCTTTTTGAAATGAAGATCTGTAGCGTATGTGTACACAGGAGAGGAAGGATGTATACGCCACAGCTCCGGAAGCTTACATGCACATTAAATATCTTGGAGGGAGGAAGAAAACCAGAAAGGAAAAATAAATATGTTTTGGACTTCAAAGGATAAGATTTTTTTTCTTCTAGTTTTTTTTTTTTTTTAATATTTGGACAAACATCTTCCAGACCGGTAACTTGAACAAAGGTTATGTACAGAAAAACAGACCTAGAATGATACGCCTTGTGTTGGGAGTCAACATTTAAGTTCATTAACAGGGCAATGTAGAGAAGCTTTCCCATTTCCTATCAATGCTATTTGAAATCACAGCAGGCAGAGAGAATGGTTTATTTTCAACTAGATCTTGAATTTTGATATAACAAGATGCTGCGAAAACAGAAATCTTTGAATACGCAGATAAATATTTGTGGGATGCCTGGGGATTTTGATAAATAATATCTGCTTCACAATTGCTCTTCCTTCTTTTAGGGCCTTGAAGCCCCCACAGAAAGTCTTCCTTTCAATTTGTCCACCTGTAGAACGGCCTCTTTATCCTCAACTCTCAAGCTTCTCATACTCCCTCCTGACATCTTCACACGTTTTCATCTTGGTCAGCTGCTTGCATGATCCTGAACCAAGTATCTCCTCACAGTGAGAGGACCCTATCTCAGAGCCATTGGCCACCTCCTTGGTGATTACATTCTGGTCATTCCTGAATACTTTGGTGGACAGATTAGGCCCCTCCTGGCCCATGCCACATAACGCGAGGGAACCAGGCTCGCTTATAGAGGATTCCTGCCATGAAAAACGCAGGTCCTCAAATTCCATTAGAGAGAGAAAGAGATTCTAGTCTCCAAACACTGTGAGCAGCTAGACAAGAGTGCATGGAACCCCTCGCTCCCATTCAAATCGGAAGACATTCTAATCATCTGAGACAAATCCTCACGGAAGGCTTAAGTAAGCATGAGCTGGGGGCTTTCTTTTATACTTTAAAGATTTTTCAAATGGATACCTATCTAACGTCCTTCTGACTGTCCAACACAAAGCCCCCATTTTCTTACACAAATCTCTCCAAATTAAGCAAGTCAAATGAAAACAAATGACCTACAAAATTTTCTGGCATTTTTTTAATAATAAAAACTAAAAACCATATTGGTGATACTAACAAGACCTGACCCCCCTTCAAAACCCCACAGTCATGAGTTGATTCCAACTTACAGTGACCCCCCTATACAGTAGAGGGTTTCTGAGCCTGTGAATCTTAGACATGCACACACATGACCACCATGCCTCCATACAAGCAATCCCCAAACCAATCCTACCGCCGTCCATACAGTGAGTTCCAACTCCTATGCGGGGTTCAGAGGCTACATGTTGAAAGGCACAGAGAGCCTCACCTTTCTACAGAGAAGCATCTAGCAGATTTAAACCACCGCCTTTCAATTGGCAGTCTAACTGGTTACCCGACAGCACCGCAATTGACTCAAGGGTAACCGGCAAATGTCAGACACCATACCAAAAACTGGCCCTGTGATTTAGGCTTTGGGCAGCTGACTGAGAGGCCAGTCATTCAGACCCACCAGTCATTCCATAGAAGAAAGGGCGGTGAGGCTGTCAGCTTCCACACAGATTGATGATCTTGGAAACCCTACCTGGGGTTCCTGTGACCTGGAATGAATTCAACGGCAGTGTGTGTGTGTGTGTGTGTGTGTGTGTGGCTATTGTTAGCATAATCAAAATTATTTTGTTTTTATGGTTAAAAACTTCCATTACAATTTATAGGAGGTATGTTTTTATTTTACACGCTCCATTTGGAAAGGTCTGTGTAATAAATGTGTTTGAGGAGGGACTTTGGGTTTGGCTGGGCTTTGGTATACACATCATTGTGTCTAACATGTGCCAGTCACCCTGGAGGTGACTCTGACTCCTGGCAAGCCCATGTTTGTCAGAGGAGAACTGTGATCTATGATTGGCAATGTCGGGGTTCTCAGAAGTAGGTAGAGAAGCCTCATTTCCAGGTACTTCAAGGTGGAACTTAACCTCCAGCCTTTCAGTGTAAGCACTCTGCTTACACTACCCGGGGACTCTGGCTGACATGTAGTGAGCACATGTTACCGATCAGCATTAAATGAAAGCATTGGTCCTAACAATTTTCTGCAAATGTGTTTTTAAAAGCCCCAATGCCCAGATGACATCCATAACAGTTAAATTCTTGTGGCAACAGAATCTCCAGGACTTGGGAAAGGCATCAGCACCCTTTAAAACCCCCTGGGAGGGGAGATTTCATATACAGCAACTTGAAAAAGGTCTGTGCTAAACATTTGCTAATGAATTACTTCATCTCTTGCTTATTGCAACTTTCTTAACAGGCCCTTATTATTATTATCATCATCATTCCACAAAAGAGGAAGAAGGTTGATGCTTAGGGAAGTCTCCCAAGTAATATGCCACAGAACCAGGCTTTGAAAACATTGAATAGTACATAATAATATTATAGTATAGTTTTTGTACAACAGCAGGAATTGGAAAGGAAGCAAAGCTAAAATAAATAAGTACACAACAACACAGTAGTAGCAGTAACAAGAAATGAAAAGAAAATAGACAATCCATAGAAAAATAAATTGGTCCCACAAAGAGAACTGAAAGCTGAAAAAGCGGGAATCAGAATAGGCTAAATGCTGAAGACCATCATTAAGAGAAGCATTTTAAGATCTTTGAATGGATAATCAGCTCAGTTCAATTCAGACATCGGTACTGTTCATTTATCAACATTCAATAGGCATTTATCAGACTGCACCCCAAATGAAACCCTTAACCGAGAAGCAAACTATGCATAGCATTCCAAGGGGCAGATGCCAGCATGAAAGAACGCCTTCATGGAACTCTCCAGAGCGAAGAGATAGAGGAGTTTTGAAGTGGTGGAGGTAACTATCTTGAACAAATATTGACACTGAAATACTAAGTGAGGTCAACAACATGCTTTAAAAGGGAAACTTCACAGCTACATTGTCAATAATAGTTCTAGGAACCAATAGGCTGATCTGAAACATGGTTGAAATGTAGCTGGAAGAAGTAGGAGGGGAAAAAGACACTTTCTTACACTCACAACTGGGAATCATTTTTGAATCATCATCAAAGCATTCATTTTGATAAGCTTCTTTGAGACAAACCTGAAAGACCAAACTATTGAACTTGCATTCTAACACTGGGAGATGAATGTACCATAAAGAATCAACAAGTTTCACACAAAAAATCCTTAGAGAAACTTAAAAAATAAACCCTTCTTTCTTTTTATTTTTCACATTCTTCTGGAGATCTGTTTTAACCTTTATAACAATAAAAAGCAGTGCCTGGACATTCACTCTGGGATCTAACTAGCCAGTATGGACTGCCCAGGGGAACTAGGCAGCATGGACTGCCCAGGGGAACTAGCCAGTATGGACTGCCCGGGGGAACTAGCCAGCATGGACTGCCCGGGGAACTAGCCAGCATGGACTGCCCGGGGGAACTAGCCAGCATGGACTGCCCAGGGAAATTAGCCAGCATGGACTGCCCAGGGGAGCACACATCTGAAGAAATAGTCATTGCAAGTGGTTCATTTTCCCTGCATCGCCAAACAATAGATCATTTAAGATGTCAAAGAAAGCAATTTGACTTTTAAAGAATAAAACAAAAGTTTCAAGCCAACACACAAATGGGAATGGACAGTTTTTTTTTTTTGTTATTGAAAATGGCATAAAAACCTGAATGACAACTTTTCAGCTCTATTTGCTAATATCCTGTGTCATGTAAATGAAATATCGAAGGCACTAAATTCTAAATAGAAAACAGAATACTTTCTAAACATATCCCTCTACTATCCCTGACCAAGGAATCTAAGATAAGAGAATACCTGCATAGCTTTTACCCAAATTATAAGAAAAATCTTCAAAAAGGTAGGGAGTAAACCTTGCTTTGAATATTTTCTAAGGAAAAATTTCAACCCCAAACAAATGACATTCCACACAACTATATTCAAATTCATTAGCAAGATTTTCAGAAAGAATATACCCTTTACCTTTGAGGTTGAATTATGTTAAGTGCAAAACATTTGAGCCATACGTTTTCTTTCCTCATGTCTGAATATTCATTCGGGTATACTTATAAGGCTCAAGAAATGGTTTCAAATAATGGAAAGTGCATTTTAATTATTTGGAAGTGGCAAGAAATATAAGCCTTACTGTTTCTTTTTTAAATTTTCAAAGATAAATAAAACTAGAGTGTACAAAGCAAGACCCAATTTCCAATGGCCCATACATACATTTGCCGTTTTAGTCTTTCAATACAAGTGGAAGTGTTCAGTACATATTGGCTTTGGGAATGACTGGCTGTTTCCGTGTGTTTTACAACATCCACAACAGAGAAACTTCTAATTAGGGCAATTAACTTATAACATGGCATAGGCTAAATACTCAAGGTAGCATCTGGTACACGCACAGAGTGCCACTTCCTACCTTGGGAGCTTTGGCATGTTTCCCACACCTGGCATCCTTGACGAGACTGAGATCTAACAGCTCCGTCTCCTGGAAGACAAAAACATGAAACCATGAAGAACCACTCCAATTTTTGTCATTGGCATCACTTTAAAAAACAATTGTTTGCAGACCTAAGTATTTTTCCACGCTTGAAATATTTTTTTCATCTTGTATCGCTTATCCATTGAGTTGGAAAGGAAAGAAAAAAGAAAGACAACCTGTTTCTAAATTTACTATATATTCTAACACATTTTGGAAGGAATAGGTTGGATACATCCATGGTTTGGGTTTATCCTCCAAGTCATTACTAAAACCTGTTGAAAAGTAGTCCTATAAGGGTTCAGGAATAGGGATAGGAGGAGAGATAAGAGGCATTTCTGCCAGTTTATACATATAGATGGCTCCTCTGGCCAAGGTAAAGAGTTGAATCTGCCTTCCTTGTCCACATATCCTTTTGCATTCAAACATCTCATGTTGATCATTCATTTACTCATTGTACATTACTGAACACTTAGAATATGCATCTTATTCTAAAGCACAGATGTAAAACAAATATGATTTCTCCTCTGGATGGGCCCAGTATCAAGAACAGAAGTAAAGAAATGTATATATGTAAGACAGAGGGGAACATACTAATGCCAAATATAAGAGTAACAACTCTGGAAGATCCGCAGAGATAAGCTAAGTTTCCACAAGGGGCTCAGAGGAAAGATCACAGAGGAGTCAATGAGTGTGGAGCCGAGAATGGCAGTGGGAAAGAAGGGAGCTTATCCGGCCGGAAAGTAGAGCATAAGCAAATGCCCAGACAAGAAAGCACCCGCGGTTCGGACAGACACTGAGAGCTCTTTAGACAGGAAGAGATGGAGAAAACCTCAGGGAAATGGGGCAGCAGGAAGGAAAGGGCAGGGCTATCCAAAGTGTGGGGAATTGCACAACAAAGGCACAGTAGCAGGAGGAAGGGCATCGACATGAAGAACAAGTATTCCATTCGTCTGGAGCAGAGTACACATAAAAATGGACCATGGGAAATGTGAACAGAAAGTGTTACTTCCTAAAGGATGTTAACTCGTAAATCCCAGCTGAAAATATTATTCCATGAAACGTAAGTCCGCAAGGCCAGAGAGAACAGGATGAGGCTAGTTGGCCAAACATGAGTCCAGCTCTCCAAGCTATTTATTGGACAGCGAGTCAGTTGGGTTGGGGAAATTTGATTCCTTTCCCCCAGCAGGAAGCATAACTGAGCCTCGCCAAGACTTTTTGGACAGAAATGGCTATAACTTCTTATAGTTCTCAAGGTCTCCATCTTTTGCCAGACAACTATCCAACCAGCTGCCATAAAACTCAAATATATGCTGCAAGATCATCTGATTAGCCTCTGTACCAAAGACTGACTTTATGATTGCAGTCTAATGAATATCGAATAGGAAGTTGGATAGCCCCCATGGAAAGACCCATACAAGGCTGACAGAACATCGTAGGCCCAGTATACCTCTCTAGGATGAAGGAAGGGTGCAGTAGAAAACCCTGCATATGAGTGGGTTGAATAACTCCACATACACAACTACCAAACCACTTGTTGGAAAAGGGAAAACACAAACAGGTTCCAACTTGAAAAAGATGAACCTATGAGATGAGAACTGAGTGGAGAGGTAAGAAATAGGGAAGCTAATTGAGGTGGTGGTAAAACGAAGAGATAGAAGAAAGATAATGTAGATGTACCACTGACCAATGGAAAGAGTGATATCACAAAACACTTCGAGACATGTTCGACTGGGCAAAACGGTAGTTCGTTTTGGAGATGTTAGTTTGAGGGGCTTATTCAGGAGGAAATGCCAGTCATAAATCCATGCCACTATTATTTAACGTCTCAGATCTTGACTACGTACTGAGGCTTTAACTAACTCACTAGTTCCTTGTTTTGAGAGAAGCTCACAACATTTAAAAAAATATATTCTCTTAAACAAGACACTTAAAAGCACACTGCAGACATGCAAGCCAGAGAAAGCCAGTATCTTCTTAGCCAATATCAGAATGGAAAGGCGTTTGGCAACTTCGTAATAGGCAGGAGGGGTTTTCAAGCAGCGACAACAGCAGGTGCAAAGACACAGAGCCTGGAGTAGTATGTGGTAACTACGAGTCCCTCTCGTCAACAGCACTGGGGGGTGGAGAATAGCCCCAATCTCTTTATGACTTACTGGCTACCATATGATAGTTGTCTTTGTAATTATGCATAAACCCACTCAAATCAACATTTGATGCACGTTTTCTTATATGCAGCATGAAGTATAACATATATGCACAATGCAAATCACACACAATCAGCTTATCTAATTTTATAGCTACATTTTCTATTCAAGGAAATTCCTCTCAGTTGGAAGAAACAATAAACTTAAACTTTCCTTACTCATTTTCACACACAATTTGAGTTCACAAAGAACTAGAACTACCTACCATCATTAGACAGATTTTACACTGCAGATCATGAGCACTATTTGCTACTCTCGAAATGTTCATTCTCTAAGCTGCACAAGGGTAGTTAATACCAGCTTCCCCGGGGGGCCATTCCAATACCACGGCGACCACGAGTCTTCCCGCAGCTGCGCGTGTACAATGGTGTGTGTAGGAAACCCACCACGGGGCACTATCAATGTGGGTAATGTGGCATGGGAAACACCCAGGTGGAAAAGCTGTCCTTTTGCTGGCACGTGATGATGAAATAGTGTCTTCCATTTCCATTAACATGCCACAACAGCCACCCCTCTGGGGTTTAACTCCATTCTATTCTCCACCACTGAAATGAAAAGGAGAGACTTAATGCACAGGACCAAACAAATGTTCCTTGTGTCATTAAAACTTTTTCTAGGTTAATTTTCTCCCGTTAATAGTTTGAACAGCCCTCTCTCATTATTAGAAAGCAGTGAAATGGTCTCTTTCGGAAGTCGATTAAGAGCTACTGTTTCCCAACTTTCAAATTCGCTCGCCCTTTATGCCTCTCTGTAAGGGAGGGGAGGTCACACAACTTATAAGGAGAAAACTTGCATTTGTGGAAAACTTGAAAAGAAGCAAGTTTTGCATTTAGTCATGATTTTTGCCATTCTGGGCATCAATTTTATCATCTATATAGTGAGTATGAAGATATTCTCTACTAGATTCAGCTAGAGGGCTGTTAAACACATTAGCCGGGCCTCGCTCATTACAGAGTTTTGTTCAGTAGGTCTATGTAAAGTCCAAATATCTAAATCCCTAACAAGCTCAGAAGCTAATGCTGCTTGGTCTACACTTACAGAATCACTGAACCATGCTCAAAGTGGGAGTGGTCATAAGGCTTCTTTGGATTAACAGCAGTGAAATGTTATATATTACAATTCTATCACATTATATAAAGCATTAGAAAAAAGGTATACTTTTATACAAAATCACATAAAATATTATGCCACCATTTACAGTATTTATGACAATGAAAGAAACAGCGTTTTATGTACAACCAAAAACCACATGGGGTTTGCTTCCATGGACTGGAGGTCTAGGATCATAGTTTCATTGGATATTCCAGACAGTTGGCCTAAAAATGTGTCTAGTGTGTGTTCCACTTCATTCTATAGTGTCTAGGGTCTTAAAAGCTTATCAACAGCCATCTAAGATATCCCAGTCTCCATTGGCCTGGAACAACCAAGGAAGGAGAATTAGGAAGAGGAGGAAGACCTGGAATATATGGATTATTGCCCTCTTTGTCATCAAACCAGAAGAGCTGATGGATCCCAGCTACCATTACTGAACATTTCCATCAAAAATTTTATCAGGAGAATACTGATCCAAAGGAGGGAAATTCAGTACTTACCGTACTTTCATAATCACAGAGACTCTAGACTTCTTGGAGTTATAAATTTAGACAAAACCCTGAAACTGTGGTGCTGAGATAATCTTTAAACCTTAAACTAAGAAGATAACATTTAAACCATAAGTAAACAAAAATGATCAGAGTGAAGTCTTCCTAAAACCAAACAATATTTTACTTTAAATAGGGTAAAATGTTTTGCTTTGAACATTATGTTCTTAAGAGAGATCTGTATAAGATCACAGAGAGGGTCAGTGAAAGAGAGGACGACCCTCAATGGATTGACACCGTGCCTGCAACAGTGGGCTCAAAAACAACGTTTGTGAGAATAGCGTAGGACCGAGGACAACCACTGTTTCATCCTGCTGTATGTTGTTGGCCATGAGCTGGGATGACTGGATGGCATTCAAGAACAACACCAGGGATCAAACTGACAACAGCAACACAAAAGATTATGTAGGAACCTTATATGGTAAAAATTCATGTAAATTTGGAGAAATAATTTAGAAAAGGAGACGAGAATGGTTGGCCATCTCAGAGCATTGTAATCAATGTCATTACACTGCATTTGCAGAAACTGTTGAATTGACTTATGACTCATTGCGTACAGAAGTATTCTCAACAACAGCAAAATAAATAATAGTAAACTATTATACCTACTGAATGCAAAAGTATGACTAAGAGAGAATAATCTGTACTTAAATTTGATTGGAGAAATATATTGACTAGTAATTTCCATTAACTACTATATGAATAATAAAGGTCCTTAGTATTTTGTTTTATTCTACATAGGGACTATCTAAGTGTTCAGAAATGCAAGCAACCATAATCATTTTATGCTTACTGAAAATGATGTATTATATAATTTTAGGGTTTAACTTCATAGCCTTAGAAAGCCTTCACTTGACAATTCTTTCGAAAATCAGAAAAGGGACATTAATTCTATCTTTTCCTTAAGGCAAACATTGGGAACAGGATAGGGATCTATAGGCCTGTGGCTTATTTAGAGAAATCATAGAAGCTAACCAGGTGCCACTGAGCTGAATCAGACTTCTGATGACCCCATATATTGACTGTGCTCCCTAGAATTTAATGACTGAAGTTTTTAGAAGAGATCATTAGGCCTTTGCCTACGGGCCTCTGGCAGACTTGCACCTCTAACTTTCCAGTTAGTGGCCCAGCTCATGACTGTTTGCATCTCCCAGACTCCAAA